CCCAGCCACTCGGGAGGCTGAGGCAGGAGGATCGCTTGAGCCCAGGAGTTTTGAGGTTGCTGTGAGCTAGGCTGATGCCACGGCACTCTAACCCAGGCAAGAGAGTGAGACTCTGTCTCAAAAAAAAAAAAAACAAAAAACTAACAAGCAGAAAAACTGGATTCATTTAGACATAGCTGAAGAATATAAACATTGACTAAAGAATCATATACCTCCTATACATGGCATTTTACAATTGGAAGGGACTTAACTATCTGATTTCCTAGATCTGTAGACTAGCCACTAAGGATCTGTGAGAGCTGCTCAGCTGGTTTGCCATTAGTGGGTTGTGGGTGGGCTGAAATATCCTTTCCCTAAGCCCTCAGAGTTGCCAGGTGGGTCTTGGGATGGTCTCCTGATGATGGGCTGGGTGATATCCCTAGGCCAATCAACTGACCTTGAACAGCTTCTTTAGTTTACTCCAGTGTGTTGTACAGAGATTGTTTTCTGTGTGTGCCTGTGAAGAGGCAGTATTGGGAAGTATTGAGATAAGTGGCTTCTCTCAGATAACAAATATTTAGGACTAGAGTTGGTATAATAAGTTTTCTTGTTTGATTTGACTGAAGTAGGTTAATGAAAGGACACTTTCCATTATTGAAATTAAGGTGTGATTTTTACATACCTTTTTAGTGTACAGTTCTGCAAGTTTTTTTTTTTTTTGGCAACAGAGGTCTTGCTCTGTTGCCTGGGCTAGAGTGCTGTGTGTCAGCCTAGCTCACAGTAACCTCAAACTCCTGGGCTCAAGTGATCCTCCTGTCTCAGCCTCCTGAGTAGCTGGAACTACAGGCTCACACCACCACACCCAGCTAATTTTTTCTATTTTTAGTGGAGACGAGGTCTCACTCGTGCTCAGGCTGGTGTCAAACTCCTGACCTCAAGTGATCCTACCACCTTGGCCTCCCAGAGTGCTAGGATTACGAGGGTGAGCCACTGCACCCGGAGCAGTTCTACAAGTTTTGACAAACATACAATCTTGTAATTACTACCACAGTCAAGATATAGGACATTATCATCACCTCCCAAAATTCTCCTGTTGTCCCTTTGTAGTCAACCCTTCTTGCTACCCTCAGCCTCAGGCAGCCACTAATCTGTAAGGAACTGTTTTTGAAGAGTATGATAAAATGTTTTCTCTTAGATGGAGGCAGACATAGTTTTTCCCATCCAAGTACTAATCAGGCCTGCCCCTGCTTAGCTTATGAGATTGAGTATGTTCAGAGTGATATGGCTGTAGATGGTAAACATAATTTCTGATTTATTGGATACTGAATTTTGCCAAACAAAAGATTATAATCAGAATTTATTTCTTCTAAATATCTGCTTTTACACTTACTGTCCAGCTTCCTCACTTACTTGACTTAGTTATTAGCATTTGAGCATTTTGATGATAAATGTTTGGAGTGATGGATATGCTAATTACCAGTTTATCATTACGCATTGTATACATGTATCAAAATATCACACTGTACCCCGTAAGTGTGTACATTTATTATGTGTCAATTAAAAATAATAAAAGCAAAAAAATAAGAAATAAGTATACTAGTTAAGAACTTTCTAAATGCATTTGAAGTAAAAGTTGGTCTTTAGACCAGGCCCAGTGGCTCGTGCCTATAAATTCTAGTACTTTGGGAGGCTAAAGCAGGAGGCTTGCCTGAGCCCCGAGTTGGAGGTTGTAGTGAGCTATGATGACACCACTGCACTCTAGCCCTCGAGACAGAGCTAGACTCTGTCTCAAAAAAAAAAAAAAGTTGGTCTTTACCATTACTGATCTTTTCAAAGTGTTTGTGAAGGGGATTTGAGAAACAAAGCACTGACAGGGACCGACTTGTTCTTGTTGTATTTCTGTAGATCTGGAGCAGCAACCATTTGTTTCCCAGTGCAGAGGAAGCCACCCTTTTTCTTGGAACACTGGATACTATTTTCCTCTTCTCCTATGCTGTGGTAAGTTTTAGAATTCTAGGGTTTTAAGTTCAGGAAAAATGTAAACCTTATGAAGTTTGTCAGGGATTTTGAATTTGCTGACTGAGGAGGAGTTTCAGTGTTTCTGAAGTGTATTATTTCATGTCCTTTCCATTCATTCATTTGATAGATGTTTATTGAGCATCTAGCAGGTGTCAATGGGAATTTATCATGAACAACACAAAAAATCCTTACCTTTATAAAGCTTATATTTACAAAATGCTAAAAATAAATACATTATAATTTTGAAGGTGATAGGTGCTATGGATAAAAATAGAGCAGGGCAGGAGACTAAATAGGCCTGGCGAAGGGCTCATCATTTTAAGTAGGACGGCTGGGGAGGACGGCACGAGGGAAGAGTGTTTGAATGGAGAGCTGAGGGAGGTCAGTGAGGTTGGTGTGGCTCAAACAAAGTTGCTGGAAGGGAGGCCGAGAGGCAATGGGCTCAGATTGGTAGGGCTTTGGTGCCTTTGTCGGGGCTCTGGCTTTAACCCTGAGTGAGATGGGAGCCACTGGAAGGTTTTGTGCAGAGTGACTGCATCTGACTTAGGTCTGGACAGGTGTGCTTGCCACTCTGGAAGATGAGGCTCAAGGACAGAGGCAGAAATGGGAGACAAGTTAGGCTCTTCCCATCCTGAAGGGGATGAAGGTGGTGGTTAGGTCCAGGCTAGAGTAATGGGTTGGGGGAAGGAGATTGTAGCTGTGTTTTGGAGGTAAAATAAAGCCAATAATATTTTTTCCTCTTGAATGTGGAATATAAGAGGAAGGCATCAAGGACAACTCCAAGGCGGAATGTCATGGCAGAGCAGAAGACTATGGGAAGAGAAGGTTTCAGAGGAATCCCTTTCGGACATGTCATATTTTGGATGCCTGTTATTGCCCAAGTGATAAAGAGCAGATGTTTGGTCATATGAGTCTGGAGTTCAAGGGTAGAGGTCCAGGCTGTAGATACAAATCTCAGAGTCCTTGGCATATAGATGGCACAGACATTTTTCAAAATTGTGAGACTCGATGAAATTATCAAGAGAACAGGTGAGGCTGGAGAAGAGGTGTGAAGACTGAGCCCTGGGGCTTCCAGTCTTTAGAGGTGGGGGTGAGGAATGGGCTGGGAGGCTGAGATGGAGTAGTAAGGAGGTGGAGACTGAGAGAGTGGTGTGTGGGGCTCCTACCAAGACAGCAAAGGGCAGGCTGGTGTCTGCAGTAGTTTCAGATTGGGCAGTTTGGGTCTCTGTCTGGCTGTAGGAATGTCTATGGTGGCTGCCACATAAGAGTTGATGGACTGATGGTGGCAACAGCTGGAACCACAGGTAGTGGGAGGAGTGTCCTTTTCTCCCTGAGCATCTTATGTCCTACCGTTAAAGTTTGTCCACTTGTAAAAAAGCCTTTTAATTATGAATGTCCAAGCAATGCGAAATACTGGGTGAAAGTCCCAAAGAAATCTCTAAATGTTTATTTGGGTAATTATTAGAGTATCTTTTCTTCAAATAGGAAACTTACAGAAACAGTTGAAGCAGATTTAGATCATTCATTCATTTAGCCTAACTATTCACCTTGGGCATTTTCAGTACAAAATGCCAATGTAGAGTCATTGGGCTTTGGCTGGAGCAATCCCAGCGATGGGGTGCTCACTTCTGTTTGAGCCACCGGTTCCTTTCAAGGGCTATTGTAAGAGGCAGTGTAGTCTAGTTGAAAAACCAGCTCTGCTATGGTTAACTAGGTATGTTAAATGTGGTTTCGAAATGGAATTTTTTTTGACGTTTTGTCATCTATAGAGTTGAGATGACAATACTTACGTGCAGGATTAAGTAGAGAGATAAAAGATAAGTGCCATGAAAAATCAATGGTTATAGTTCTTCATCTTGAGTTGCATTTCCTTCTGTAACATCCAGGCATTTTGCTTTCTTGAGCATCACAGAATAAATGGATTCCCTCATCTAAACAGATTTGAGAGAGTTTCTTCATCTCCTTTGTTCTGTGCAGTGCAAGACTGTGAGGGGCAGCTAGAGAACATTGGATGGATCCACTTTAATGCTTGCGTGCCTCTTTTGAGGATGGGAAAGCTTGATGATAGATAACAAGGGAGAAACATTAGAGAAATCTAAATGACATCATCTAGATTTTCTCTAATATAGAGATAGACAATTTATTAGAAAAACCTGGTCCTATCTGAATTTCGGCTTTTAAGTTTCGACATTTAATTCACTTTATGTATTTATGGAAGAAACCTGAAGCATGTTGCCCTTAAGGTCTTCAGTCGCCCTGCATGCCATGATCTTAGCGTTTTAATTCCTGCCGCTCAGCGAGAGGGGAGAGCAGAAGACAGAACGTTTGTACCTGTCTCCAACTAATTATTGTCTCTGTCTCTCTACTCTCCCTGCCTTGGGATATCATGAAACCCAAGGGTCAGATTAAACAGGCAGCAAGTGTGCCTTAGAAGCTTCTGTTCCACTTCTTACAAGGTTGGAACTGAAACTGCACCATATCTGGTAACAGCTTAACTCAGAATGCAAATGGCTAAGAGGAATCCCTTTGGGAAAGCTTATAACTGGTGTTTAGGAATTAATCTATTCTAGAAAATGAAATGTATTTGTGTGTTTTTGTTTGTTTTATTAGAGTCATTCTTGGGTGGGTTTTTTTTTGTCCGTTTAGGGAATCAAGTAAAACCAGAGTCTGCTCTGAACCGTGGTGTCTGCAGTACAGTGTGCAGAAGCCCATTGCCGTTTCCTGAAACATCTGTGCAACTCATGTAGACAGCTAGTCTCGGCATGTGAATAAGATTGAATTTTAAATCTCAGTGTTTTGTTTGCCTCATTTGCTTTGCAACGCATATGACTTTTTTCAGACTGTCTTATTATTTTGAGCTGTAAAAATAAAATGCTTCCTTTTTAGGGCCTTTTCATCAGTGGCATCGTTGGGGATCGGCTGAATTTACGATGGGTTCTGTCTTTCGGCATGTGCTCTTCTGCGTTAGTGGTAAGTTGGAAAGGTCTTATAATTACTATATTATTTTGATCAGGTATTTTAGAATCCAAGTAATCCCCCTACTTCTCTATGTAGGATAGAATAGTAAAATTCTTAGTGTTCTAATCCCTTGTTTGCCCCTTCACTTAGGTGAGTCTTTTTAAAATATGATTCTGCTCAGGTCCCTTCCTTGACTGTCAGGCACCAGCAAAGTCTAATAAATAGTCTGAATAAGTAGCATGCCATTCAGTGCTCTCTGGAACCTGGTCCCAGCCTGCCTTTATAATTATATTTGTCACTCTGCTTCACTCCTTTGTTCCAGCCAAACCAGACTACTATCCGTGCCCCTAACATCCAGCTCCCTTCCACCTCAGTGCTTTTGTTCCCGCTGTTCTTCCTGCCTTAAGTGGCCCTCTTTTCAGCTCCCCATAGCCCACCTTACTGTCTCCTTCAAGTCATTGGCCAAGTGACACCTCTTTCAGAATGCCCAACCTTACCGGCCCCACTTCTGGAAGTAATTGGTCGTTCCCTCTTCTGAGCTCCTGTGCCTGTGTTTCTTTGCAGGCACTTGAAATTGCCACGTAGCCTGGTTATTTCTGTTTCAGTCCTGCTTTCCCCAGGAGTGGTAGCATGGTGGTTAAGATCACAGATTCCCTAGACCGGGACAGCCTGGGTTTCTGTTCCTCTTCTGCAGTTTCCTAGCTTATGATTTCTCTGTGCTTCA